ACACATGGGCGTACACATGTGGAGTCAGAGGACAACTTACAGGAGTTGTTTTCTTCCACCATACGGGGTTTGGGAATCCAGCTCAGTCCATCAGGCTTAATGGTGAGCATCTTTATCTGATAAGTCATCTAACTGGTTCTCTTGCCTTATTTAAAAATTGGTTTTAGGAGATGTTTGGTTGGGTTTGTATCCATTGCATATTTTACAATATGTAACCATTCACTGAGCAGCCCAATAATTTATGACGTGTTAGAAGATGGCTAAATTGGGGACAGTAACGTCCAGATAAATGCATAAAGAGGACCAATGAAATTATTATAGACCTTCAAGAGAACCTTTTATACCCCTTCTGGTATTTGGAACCCAAGTGCACACTAGTGGTAAACTTAGTGCTTTTCTTGAGCTTTAGTTAATCTAGAAATATTTTGTGAAAGCTAAGTTAGATGACACTTTTTGAAAAAATGGCTCTATAAACAAGAAGTCTAATTTAACATAAGGTTTTTGAGAAAATCATGTACAGTTCAGAAGAACCAGAGTCAGCGACTACTGTGGGAGCAAGGAGAAGACATTGCCTCACTGCTGCTTACAATGAGTCTTGAGCACCTAGTGTTAAAAAATATGGCAGCATGACAAGATTATATGGTTGCTTTATCCTTAAGATGGCACTATAAGCTCACAATTTCTTTATACAGAAAGAGACACAAAAATAACTGAGATTTAGCTGGAAATTCATCAATTCCTTATCATATAAACTGGGAAGACTTTTGTGTCAGAGACTAAATGTGTCGAAGTTCTTGTTGTTGGGTATTTTGTTGGCTTTATTTTGTTTTGAGACCAAGTTTTATATAGCCCAGACAGGCCTTGAATTTCCTATTGAACCAATGATGACTTTGAATTTCTGATTCTCCTTCTTCCAGCCCTGTAAATGCTGGGATTGCAGGCATGTGTTACCATGTCTTGCCATTTATTATTTTTTAATGGTAACATTAAGGTTTATTGGGGTGTTCTAGTACAGACACTTGGGGCTTGCCCATGGTGCTCTTGATGTACAAAGCCAGGACATTTTGCCAGTTCTTTTTGAGCAAGGACACCAAGAAATTGACAGTCAAGTGGATGTTGTAGACTAACTAGCTCATCATCGGTCATCTTCACATGGCCAACAGCAACAGCCAGACACAGCACCTTCTTCATCTGGATCTTGATCATGGATTTCACCTCATCACCTTTGGCCACCGTGTTTTCATTGTGTGTCAGTAGGGAAGGGAACTTGCCAGCCTTGTTTAGGCCTGGGTCCAGGATACATGGGATCTGCTTGATCAGAGGCCAAAAAGGCATCACACTTCTTGGCTAGCTTTTGACCAACTTCTTGTTCTTATTAAGCTTCTTCAGCACCTTGATGTCCTTGTGGGGGATATCCACCACTTAGGCTTCATGGCAGTGCTGCTGGTCTCCCAGGATGCATACAGAGAACTTAGGGTAAGGAGTGGACTTAAGCCTGTCGGTGCCTGAGAAGCGTTTGTCCTTCTGAGGGTCATAGTTCTTCAGGCTGATCTGCAACTCCACAGTTTCCAGAAACTTGTGATGCTTGTGCTGGTTCCCGTGCGGGACTTCCCGCACTACCTTGTACAGGGTGTTGCAAAAGACTTTGCTGCTCACGGCTGCTGAGGTCATGAAAAACCGGTTATTCTTCATAGCTACTACTTTACCCCACTTTCCAAAGTAGAAAAAGGAACCAGAGGGTAAATGACTTGCTGTCAATTATAGTTTGTAAGCAGCAGAACAAGGATTTGAATGGAGGCAGTCAGAATCCAGGAGCAGGGTACCTAATTTCTGGGCTGTGCTATATCTTTACAGTAATTCACATACCAGAAATCCAGTAGTATTAGAAAAATTATTAGTTATGAAAACTTTTTCCCCTATCTGGTGGTATGTGGGAGCCCATTCTCAGGTTCCTCGTGGCTTTACCCAGCAGGTCCGCATAGAGGATGATTAGGGCCACGGGCCTGAGTGCAGGTGTCTGAGATGGTCTGCACTTGGCTATGCTGGGGGAGGAGGTCTTTTGCAGCACCCCTTGGCGTCTCTATAAAAACTCTAGGGCAGAGACAGTCGGAGCCCGTTGGAAAAGGTTCCAGGCCCTCTTGGGGCTATCTTTTATTTTCTGTTTATCTCCGAAAGAGTCTCCGCAATAAATCCTTCTATCTAATATTTCCTGCTGCTCGCACTCAAGAAAACTCTGGGGAACTGTGGGGGTGGTGGGTAAACGCCCCACAGTGGTGTAGGGGAAATATGGGAATGAGAAGTCAAGGAGCCCATATTTTATCCCCCAAGAGTAAGACAAGAAAGCATCCAGGCCTCTGGAACCCTACACTATGGATCTGTGCTGTCAGATGCTCCTCCTAGGCTTTCCCGTAAACCCTGAGTATATATTGTGCTTACTAGCTGTCTTGTATCTCTCCTTCTCCACTAACCTGTGAGCATCTTTGTAAACCTCCATGCTTGGTAAGAAGCCCAGAACATAGATATCTTAAGAAATCATCTCTGAACTCTATTCTTTCATGTTAAGCCAGACCCTTCATCAGAGGTACTGTTTTCTTGGTATCTATGCTATTCCTCCTTTCTATACAGAAATAACCTCAACTGCAGATGGTGAATTGTACGAGCGAAGGCAGTCTGCGTAGAAAGCTGTTTTTATTTAAAGAGCTTGGGTGTTTAGGTGCTGCTGAGAGTTGGAAGAATGCGAAAACTGGGGTTAAGTTGTTAAGTAGCTCCTAGTAACTAGTGTGCCTTCTTCCCCTTGGACATTTCTGAACCTGGGAAAACTATGCTGTGCTTACCATCTGCCTATCTTTTCATCTACACGAAAAATAGTCACAAAGAATGCTAAGGGCCACTTGGAAAGAGAACAGGAGGCATGAAACAGTGGAATCCTGCAAGGGAGCATAAATCAGGGAAGGTGAGTCACTCAGCTCACTTTCTACCTCCTTGCATCTAAAAACGGCAGGTTGTTTCTTAGCAACTGCCGGTAATAATTACCTCTTTCCTTCCTGCTCCCAAATAGTTCTCTAAGCCACTGAGGCATCTTTCCAACCTGCTAAGCTCATTTATTTTTTCCCCAGACAGGGTCCGTCACTGAACCTGGAGCTCATCTAGTTGCCACCATGTCAAGCTTTTAACACGGGTGCCTCATGGTGGCATGGCAGGCATTTTACCAACTGAACCATCTGCTTAGTTCCTTCCATACTGGAGTGATCTGTGTAGCCAGTAAACCCTAGAAGGGAGAAACTAGGAACCTTCGGCTAGTCTGTAATTCATAGTGCTGTTGGAGTTTAGGGGAGAGCTGGCAGGTTGCGGAGGCCGTTTTAGAAAGGTTAGAACACGGGACAGGCAGCGCAAGAAGCTTGATTTCCAACCCAGGTCTTGCACCAACGACTGCTCTTGAACAGATTTAGTTTTCTTATTTATAAAATGAGACTGCTGCTTGGATCTACTTCTTCATGGGTTGTCAGGGTTAGATAAGTTGACTTGTGTAAAAACATACTTGCTCTGCCTCTGAAAACAGGTATTCAGTAAATGTTAGATGGAATGATTACATGAGAGTTTATGTCACCATCAAGGATGCCAGGGAACTACTTCATTCATTCATCACACAGCACAAATACCTCACGGTGTACTCAGATACGTGCGGGTGCTGGAGACACTCTACATTCCTTTATTCAGCAAATGTAACTATAATTACAGGTGGGTACAATGCTCTGAAGGATTTATGCTGACTAATGTGTGTCTAATTAATCATAATAGGAAAAATTTCATTAACAAAATCGTTTTATTACAAAATGAATTTAGTTTTTCCTATAAACCTTAGGATGTTGATTTTTGTGCAGTTGAGTATTTTTATTTTCTAAGTAATGTGGCATGCAGAGAGGCGTGGTATTCCTCACAGATAAGGCCAATGGATTTATAGCCATGCAAAGCTAAGAGGTTGACATGTCACCACTTCAAAACTATGCAGTCTTAGGTAACTTTCCACCATGTCATTTCATTTTGTTTTATCTTCGTGATGCTTGGGATCAAAGCCCAGGCCGTGCTTATGTTTAGCAAGTGCTGCATCATTGAGCTACGTCCCCAGTACTAATACTTAGCGTTCATATCTGCGAAAATGCTAATTATATTTCCATTTCAGAGGATGAGGGAGAGATTAAACTCATTTGCTCATTCAACTTTGTTTCTGGGCATTAAGAACATAAAAGTAAGCTGGGCGGTGGTGGCGCACGCCTTTAATCCCAGCACTCGGGAGGCAGAGGCAGGCGGATCTCTGTGAGTTCGAGGCCAGCCTGGTCTCCAAAGCAAGTTCCAGAAAAGGCGCAAAGCCACACAGAGAAACCCTGTCTCGAAAAAAACCAAAAAAAAAAAAAAAAAAAAAAAAAAGAACATAAAAGTAAACAACAAATTCTGAGCCCTGGGTTGGTTATATGGCTCAGTGTGTAAAGGTACTTGCTGACAAGCCTGACTTGAGTTCAGTGCCCAGGACCCATGTGGTAGAAGGAGAGACTCAAGTGAAGGTCAGAATCTTAACACTTGCACTATGTCATTCATGTGCCCCCTCCCCAATAAGTACATTTAAAAGCTAAAAGAGAGACTGAGACACTTTGCTCAACTTCAGTGCAGGGAGGAGGAGATTGGACCTGCCTCAACTGAATGTACCAGACTCTGCTGACTCCCCAAGGGAGATCTTGCCTTGGAGGAGGTGGGAATGAGGGGTAGGATGGGGGGAAGGCTGGGGGATGGGAGGAGGGAGGACAGGGGAATCCGTGGCTGATATGTAAAATGAATAGAAAATCTCTTAATAAAAAAAATAAAAACTAAAGAAAAGAATTTTGTTGTTATAGTTTAATTCTAGAGATAAAATTTAGGGAAACAGATTGCTTATGGGAAATAAAATACTCTTTAAATATAATTATTATATAAACATATGCAGTATTAATGTCACTAATTAGGTGACTTAAGACAATTATGGCAGAATAGAGATTCAAATTAGAATTTACAATTATATAATAAATATGTTCTGATAAAGACAAATAATGTAGAAATGAGTTAATTGCTAATGAAAGGAGTTTCAAATGATCTTTTATTAGTTAATTTTGAAGTTTTACAACAGCTACTTGGCCACACAATTGCACACATATATACAATTCTCTAAGTAACTAGAAAACAATAGTTTAGTAAATGTACTTGAACTCATATTACTCAAAACGTCACCAAAACATCTATTATAAAAATCAGTCAAATTGTTGAATAAGTTTATGAAAATTGTTGGGTGTGTGTACGTGAAAAATTCAAGCTTGCCTTACTGAAAGGTGCATTTCTGTCCATGTGCTCATAGTGCCTGTCCAAGGTAGTTCAAAGGGAGAAGAAAGCAGGTAGCATTGTCTTGTACTGCAGTGCTAATTAGTATGGACTTACCCTGGGGCTCCATGAAAGCTCCTTTCCTGTACCTATAGTGAAACAGTAAAAGATTTATAGCTTTCTTCTGTGACTAAAATCCATAAATGATGCTTTATTTCCAGAATAACTTGTTACCATAAAAACTGCATTCATTTTGCAGATATTACTGACACCTTGCATGATTTAAGACAAATTTTCATACTTGAAACTCAAAGGAAAAACCACCAAGACCTAGTCTCCCAATACATTCACTGAATGCAGACTTAAATATGCACATTCACTTTGATTGTGCCCTTCATATGTGCACTTTGAAATGACTTTAACATAGTACGTTTGTATTTTCAACTGGCACCAACATTAAGATGAAATGATCTATGTAAAACCAGTAGCCTGTACTTCTAGTAACAGTTGTCAAATGTGCAGGGGAATAATAAAGGAAAGCCCTGAGTCAATATATATATATAGTTTTCAAAAGTAATGAAAGGGGTGTTCTGAAGTCATTTCAACTTATGCAATAGTTAAGAATATCCAGTATTCATTTCTTCTGTTTTCACTTTGATTGAAGAGAGGTACAAATTTTGTCTACTTAATCCAATGTAGGTAATTCTTAATACTCAATTTCATTTAAGTCTTCAGAATATCCTGATGATTGTTGAGTTGTGTCTTCCATTTCTGTCAAGAAAGACAGACAATAATTATTTTCTCTATAGAAAAGATAATTTTGAATTCTTATAATTTGAGACTATATTATAAAATCCATTTTCCAATCAAGCTTATGTAATTGGGGAAAATATTACCTGTACATGGTCCTGCCTGAAATTTAACATCATCAATGGCAATATCACTTCTTATTGACATTCCCCGAATGGCTTCAAAAATTATCTGAAAAAAGAATGACGTTTGTATTTAAAAATAGAGTCAAGCTAATAAAACTTTGTTGGTCAAGGAAGATCTAGGCTTTTTGGCTCTAAAAGCTTTGATAACTGGTGGGGCTGACTTGAAGGAAAAAGACACAAATTACAAATTCAAGCCTGGCTCTTATCACCCCATCAGTCAAGAGGCTAGCGTGGAAGGACTGTTACAAATTCAAGCCAGCCTAGACTACTTAGTAAGTTCTGGGGGAGCCTGGTCTACATTGCAAGCTTGAGGCCAGCCAGGGAAACATAGTGAGACCAAGTCTCTAAAATAAAATAATCAAACAACAATAAAATAACATTACAAATTCAAATTAGATTATTTGGAGTTGAAATATTTCACAATGAAGTATGATGCCTCATGATTCCTCAACATCTTTAGGCAGTTCTCCAGAGATGCTTAATCAGGAGTGCTTCCTAGGAACCTGCTAACCCACCCCACTTAGAACATTTTGTTTAGCTCCCCTCAGCCTTTTCGGTTTCTTTAGGCTCCCATTGAATCTACCTTCGGTACTGGCACTAGGTGGAAAAGCTAAATAATGAGGTGTAAAATAATTAAATTGATCAAAAGATAGTGAATCACTTATGTTAAATACCATAACATCAAAAGCACAGCCCACGTGCCTTGGGGGCACCCTGTTTCATGAGTTTAGAGTCTTTGAAGAAAACAACTAATCAAATATTCTTGATCTAGAAAAATAGTTCACCAGCTCCAAGGATGTTGCAATAATGGTTAATAAGTGACTGAATCTTCCAGACAGGTTTGTGGGTAATGACAACTGTCCTGAAGATATGTGCTCTACTCACGTTATTAAATTAGTTTGTGCTTCAGATTAGATTTTTTTTAAAAAAGTCCCTAAGCTAATCTTATTAAAGCCACCCCAAATTAAGAGTGTAAATAGAGGGCTGGGGAGATGGCTCAGCAGTTAAGAGCACTGAATACTCTTTCAGAGGACCCAGATTCAATTCCTAGCACCCACATGGCAGCTCATAACTGTCTGTAACTCCAGGATCCAACACTCTCACACAAACTTAAATGCAGGCAAAACATCAAATACACATAAAATAAAAATAAATTAAAAAATAAAGAATATAAATAGAATAATTAATAAGTTTATGTAATTATGTTGAATTTAATGATTCAAGGAAATTTTAATGACAAGCACATAACAAGATAAAGTCAAGAAAACTTTCTAAGGACATAACATGTAATGGTTAATTTTAAACATGAACTTTTCGGGACTGATGGGCATCAAGATGGTTATAAGGCATTATTTCTGAGCATGTGTATGGAGGAGCACTTTCTGGAAAAGATTGGCCTTTGAAGCCATGGCCCAAGCTAGGATATGTGACCTTAATTCAGTGTGGGAGGCAGAGGGAGAGGGAGTTCTCCCTCTTTTGGAACTGGGTAGCTATCATCTGCTGCTGGGTATCTGAATGCTGGACTCCAGGACTTTTGGTCTCCAAGACTTATATTAGGTGAGGCTTCAGGTCTTGTTGAAGGTTAGACCTTTGTTTCCCTGGTTCTCAGATAAAGACCAAGCTGTGCTGCACCTTTTCAGCTTCCCCAGATTACAGATGATGCATTGTGGAAATTTTTAACCAATTTCTATAGTAAATCCTTCTCTGCTGTGGGATGTTCTGTATGGCAAATGTGTTGCTAATTAGTCAATAAATAAAACACTGATTGGCCATTGGCTAGGCAGGAAGTGTAGGCGGGACAAGGAAGAGAATAAAGCTGGGAAGTGGAAGGCTGAGTCAGAGAGACACTGCCAGCCACCACGATGACAAACAGCATGTGAAGATGCTGGTAAGCCACGAGTCATGTGGCAAGGTATAGATTAATGGAAATGGATTAATTTAAGCTGTAAGAACAGTTAGCAAGAAGCCTGCCATGGCCATACAGTTTGCAACCAGTATAAGTCTCTGTGTTTACTTGGTCGGGTCTGAGCATCTGTGGGACTGGCGGGTGAGAGAGATTTGTCCTGACTGTGGGTCAGGCAGAAAAACTTTAGCTACAAATGGCGCCCAACGTGGGGCAAGAGTTTCCACCTAAAACCTGAGAAAAGATTCTAAAACGGAGCTAAAAACAGTTCCTAATTGTCTCTCTCAAATGAGCGGCAGCTGCTGGTTTGAGCTACTGGTGGGTTCCTAGCGTGCGTACTCGACCTGCCTATGGCGGGAATGAGGCCTTTGCAAGTGGCACTTTGAGCTGCATGGTGGATTTAGCCTATGCTGGTGCAGAGCAAAAGGGGAGGTTTCTGGGCTACACGCTGCTTGGATAAAAGCATAGACCCACGATAGCTCCCAGAGCTGGTGGTAAAGTACCAGGGCCAGGTTGGGAAGCTGAGGTGGGCGGAGCCAGCAGCCACAGCTGCTGCAGCTTAAAGCAATAGATTCACAATAAGACAGATTCAGATGTAATAGCTTAAAATGTGTGTAAAATATACGTAGGCTTGAAAGAGACAAAAAAGATGATATATAGAGTTATAGAAACAAATACATAGTTTTAAAAAATAAAGTCTTTAAAGAGACAGTAAAGGTAGTATAAAAAATAAGCCACGTAAAAATGGATATTACACAGAGAATCTGCATTGTGTTGTCTTTGGGATTTTTAACTGCAGAAAAACATTTGATTGTAAAAGCTGTTGAGTTATGCCAAAATGTATATTTTAAAGGTACCTTGACTTCAAAATTTGGATGTAAGGATATGTTACTTTGGAAAGGAGACTCTGCTTTTGTTCCCACAGAAAGCCAGAGGCTATGGATTTGTTCAAGATTAAGATACATCAGGTTTGACCAGCCAAGACCCCCTGATAGGTCTCCGATGACACCATGGCCCAGATGATCCAACATCCAGAATGGTTTCAAGGCAACTGGCTCAAATGATACAGCCTCATGGACTATTCCATAATCCTAAAATTTTCTTTGTTTCCCCATAAGATACAGCGCCCCCCTCCAGCAGGAAGTAGTAAGAGAAGCTACGCCCAAATTCCCAAATTATATGTAATTTTACTTTGTTAAGGTTAAAACCTTCCTTTTTGAAAAAAAAAGGGGAAGTGCTGTGGGATGTTCTGTATGGCAAATGTGTTGCTAATTAGTCAATAAATAAAACACTGATTGGCCATTGGCTAGGCAGGAAGTGTAGGCGGGACAAGGAAGAGAATAAAGCTGGGAAGTGGAAGGCTGAGTCAGAGAGACACTGCCAGCCACCACGATGACAAACAGCATGTGAAGATGCTGGTAAGCCACGAGTCATGTGGCAAGGTATAGATTAATGGAAATGGATTAATTTAAGCTGTAAGAACAGTTAGTAAGAAGCCTGCCACGGCCATATAGTTTGTAACCAGTATAAGTCTCTGTGTTTACTTGGTCGGGTCTGAGCATCTGTGGGACTGGCGGGTGAGAGAGATTTGTCCTGACTGTGGGCCAGGCAGAAAAACTTTAGCTACACTTCTCTCCTCTTCAATCCATCTGTCCATCTGCCTGTCCATCCATCCAGAATTCTATTTCTCTAGAATATACAACCCTAAGCAAGAATCAAAATAAGTGGTAAGAAAAGGGGGTAAAATGGTCCAATGCATCTGCAAAGGAGAATATATGAATGCAATTAATAAACATTTCGGTTTTCTGAACAGCAACAACACTCTGGTTTTTAGATCCCAAAGACTATAATAGCCAGGTTCTGATGGAATGACATTCACAGTAAATCTGTGATTTGGCTAAACTCTGGCCTTTATAAACCTTTTGTGAATTTCCTTAATCCTTGAGTGGCAGCCATGTTACAGCCCACGACTTCACCATTGTAGTTTAGATACGTGGTAGCACCTCTTCTTCTTCATTTACAAGATTATTGTGGCTTATCTTTGGGCTTTACATCTAACCAACCCTCTCCTGTAGCAACCAATAAACAAAGATTTATTTACAGAACACCTGCAATAAATATGGGATTAAATTAGGTATAATATTGATTCCCAAATTGTGGGCTGAGACATTCAATTGTATTCCTAAGGGTGCAGTAGGATAGTTTGAAATTTCAGATGGAAGTATTCAACATTTAGCAATACTGTGGGAACTACTAGTTGAAAATCATCCAAAGATTCAACATTAGGTGGGCTTATATTCCTTTTGATAACATCTTATCATTGTACAGTTGGGGTTTTGGTAACAGCTGTAATTAAAGCAAGTGCCATGTAAAACTCTGTGAGAAACTTTAAATGAAGGTGGTATATCTAAACTGGTCAAACTTTCACAACCTCTGAAGCCTTGGCTGGTTTGAGAAGTTACACAATACCAAGCAGGTGCATAAAATTATGTATATATTGTATATATGCATAAATGTGAGATGACTACTAAGTCATTAGAATATAGTTTTTCTTAAGTTATTTGGACCTAAATACTTAATAAATGGAACTGATAGGTGTTTCTTTTGGTCTAGAAAACCAGGCCAAAAGCCGGGTATGGTGGTACACACCTTTAGTCCCAGCACTAAGGAGGCAGAGGCAGTCAGATCTATGTGAGTTCAAGGCCAGCCTGGTCTACAGAGAAATTTCCAGGACAGCCAGGGCTACACAGAGCAATCCTGTCTTGAAAATCCAAAAGAAAAGAGAAAGAAAACAAGGTCAAAATTACTAAGACTGAGGCATCTATAAGACAACAAAGTCGAGGTGGGCGTGGTGGTTCATGCCCACAATCACAGCATTTGGGAGGCTGAGAAAGGAGGATGATGAACTCAAGACCAGCTTTGACTGCATCTTAGAAGGGGATACAAAGCAAGACCCTGTAGGCTTCTCTCCTTACTGCTGCTTCCTGGCCATCTTCTTGCTAGGGCTAGTGCTGTGGGGTCCAAATATCCTGACCCTGCTACACTGTGTTTTCCAAGTAGTTGCTGGAGCTACTGTTTAAAACCAGATCATCGCCTTAAAGCCATCTGATGGATTCTTACTGCTTTTGGAATAATTTAATAACTTTTACCATGTCCTCTGAAGTTTTGCAAAATTATCCCAGTACTCCTTTGGCTTTATCACCTAATCATCTTCATCTCCTCTTCCCTGTCTCCAATTAATATTATTTTTAATGGGAAAACCATACTTTCATATATTTATAAGGCTCAACATGATATTTTAATATACATTAATAATACACAAAGAGTAAATCAAGCAGATTACCCATGGTTCATCATTTTCTGGTGAGGAGATATTTAAAATTTATTTGCCTAGTCATTTTGAAATATGTAATGCATTATTATTGACTGCAGTCATCTTGTTGTGCAATCAGACCTCAAAACTCATTCCTTCTGTCTACCTCAAGCGTTAGAGTCTTTGACCCACAACTTATCATTTGTTGTGGAATATTCCTGTACACAGTGTGAAAATGTATTGTGGTGATTGGTGTAATAAAGACCTGAATGGCCAATAGCTAGGCAGTATTTTCAGGGTAGAGAGAATGTAGGGAAGAAGAAGGGCAGAGTCGCCAGCCAGATGCAGAACAAGCACCATGGACAGTACTAGATGAGGTAAACAAGCCTCAGGGCAGCACATAGATGAAAAGAAATGGGTTAATGTAAGTTATAGAGCTAGCTAGAAACAAGCCTAAGCTATTGATCAAGCTTTCGTAATTAATAAGAAGCCTCAGTGTGGTTATTTGGGAGCTGGCAGGCGGGACAGAAAAATCTGTCTACAATCATTCCATCACAACTTATCATTCCATCACTCGCTTTGCCACATCTGGCTCAGCTATCCTTTATTCAACTCCATTTCTGTGAGTTCAAATTGCCTTGTTTTTATTGGCACTGGTGTTATACTATCTATTTTTGGCTTATGGTTTAAAGTTTTTCATTTATGTGTATGTGTATGTGTATATGTCTGTGTGTGTCTATGCCATGTGTGTAGGTACCCATGGAAGTTAGAAGAAGGTCTCAGATTCCTGGAATTGGAGTTAACAGGAAGTTGTGAATCACCCAACAGAGGTGCTGGAAGCAAACTCAGGTTCTCTGGACAAGAACAAGTGTTCTTAACCACTGAGCTACATTTCTAGTCCCAGCTTACAGTTTAGTGTTTTTTTTTAAAATTACTCTCCCATATGAATATAAGCTCCAAAAGAAGTAAGAACTTCATATGTTACAGTTATTGCAGAATTTTAGCATATATTACATGCATGTGGTCAATAAATATTTATGAAAATGTTATACTTTATATTAGACTACAAGAACTCAGTCTGGAAGCCTGATACAGCTAATGAGAATATCAGTTTTGCCATGGTGATGAGAATTAAAGACCAGAGAAATCTGGGAGGAAAAATGTAGTTTTTAGAAACAATGAAACATTTTTAAATAACTTAGTATATTGAAGTTTATAAAACCCTTTCACACATCTGGGAGGAAAAATGTAGTTTTTAGAAACAATGAAACATTTTTAAATAACTTAGTATATTGAAGTTTATAAAACCCTTTCACACATACAATCTTATTTGATGCCCACTTTTACTCTGCTAGGGTCAGCATGATGGGAATTATTTTCCCATTTTGAATACGTAGAAATAATCCCAGAGCAGATAAGGTTTGTCCAAGGCCACTTGGTGCTTGTGACCCTAAGAGAACGAGGACAGTTTGGGAGTTCTGCAGGGCAGGGGGCAGTGTAGGACTGTGGTTATGGAAACAGACTTTGGCACTAGGTAGGTCTGAGTGGAAGTTCTCTACAAGCCATTTGCTTTTCCCTATCTATAAAACGGGGCTGTGACATTAATTGGAACAACTTATGTAGAGTTCTTAGCACTGTAAGTACCTACTGCGTAACAGATGGCCAGGCTATGTGTGCAATGTATCAGCATTTTATTCGACAGTAGAATGCATCCTAGACCACCTACAGTCGTTTGGGATTCCTGAGGTGAGCATTAGGTCCAGAAGAAGAAATTGATTTCCTGTTCTATTATCAGCCAAAGGGGTCAGTCTACTCTAGAGTCCTCCTTCTAGATTGTAGTTAGTCATTCCAACCATCCTGCACTCTTTGAACTGCAGCTTTCCAAATCGACACTCCAGATGGTTTGCCAATCTACATTTAAAAAGCATTTTAAGCTGGGTGTAGTGGTGCGTGCCCAGAATCCCAGCAATGGGAATTTAAGGAAGGAGAATCCTGAGTTGGAGTCCAGTCTGGGCTATATAACCAGACCTCTCAAAGCAAAAACAAAACCAGTTTCAAAGACTACCTATGCAGCAATCATAATATATTTTAGGCAAGGCCCTGTGTGCTGATTCCCAGAACTCAAATTTCAGAGCATTTATGTATGTGTCCTTTGAAAGTTAAAAAAAAAAAAAACCAAAAAACAAACCAGTGCTAGCCTGGGAGTATAGCTCAGTGATGGAACACTTGCCTGGCGTATGGAAGGTAATGGCTTTGATCTTCTGCACTGCAAAATGGAGGGGTGTGTGTGTGTGTGTGTGTGTGTGTGTGTGTGTGTGTGTGTGTGTGTGTTTGGATACTATCCTCAAAGTCATATTCATTTAAATTTGGAGATTTTCTATTTTTAGCTTGCATCAGAATCACTTGGAGGGCTTATTAAAGTAAATTTCTGAGACTCCAAAGCCCTCCAGAGTTTCTGATTTAGTATTCTGAGGTGGAGTCTGAGAATTAGCATTTTTGGGGAACTTACATTTCAGGTGTTTCTGATGCTGCTGGTATATGTACCATGCCTTGAGAACTATTTGAAAAAGGGTCTGAATTCCCTGGATTCTAACAAGATTGAGCCACCATCTTTGAATGATGATCAACTATGTTAGTAAGTTTTCATCTGCTTCATGTACCTTCTAGAACAGTCATAAAAAAATCTTCACGGAGCAATTTGCCATTCTCTAATACATCTCCAAACAGTTATTCATGCTTAACTGATGGATCCCTCCTAGACAGTAGAATTTGTCATTTGTTGCTTATCAATGTAGCAGCTTGAGTGGCATTGTATTCAGACACTTGAGCTGCAATTTCTTAGTTTAGATCTTTAGAAAATCAGTTTGTGTTGTAGAGTGCTTAAAAAAAAAAAAGCCCGTATTTTGGATACCTCTTCTCAGGAAGCCTTGAGCTTAGGCCAGGGCACCTACCCAGTGGTTAAAAGCTGAGTGGACCCAGGAAGTTTACCACCCAAAAGCAAAGCTGCAGAGGAAGCTGGAGCATTAGTTGGAGAGCATGCTCACGCCAGAATTCTACAGAGTGAATTCAAGAACAATTGGGAGCCTGGAGGTTGTCTCCCCAGAACTTTAGCTTTGGTGGCTGTGTGAAGTGTGTGGTTATAGGAAGGTAAAACTAGGCTTTCTAGGCTAGAGGAGTTGCTTAGGTCTACCTACTGGAATGATTGAATACATCTAGGCAGGGGCTTTCTATAGCACATGGGGAGTTGGGGGGCTGCAGTGGAGATGACGGTGGATTTGGGATTAAGACCTCTAGTTTCTTCTACAACAATATAGTAATGCATACAGAGGCTTTAAAGAACTTGCCATGGGCTATACACACTCTTAAGTGGAAGCTGAGAACAAAAGCCCTTACATGCAAGTGGATCATGGGTAATAGGAGCAATACTAGTGTATTTAGAAAAAAAGAGACTTCCTTTTGGAAGGAACGTACTTGACATTCGCAACACACTAAGACAGACTAGGAACCCTTTCATCCTTGATTTGTAAAAAACAATCACTTTATGCATGGATGGCCAAAGCTTTAGCTCCCTGTCTAATTTTCCATTCACCACTTAAGAGTTAATCAATAACAGGCTAATTATGTTTACTCTTCAACTAATCCTGCCTTTATCTCTGACCTGAAAAGGGACAAAATATTCTCTTTTGTAGCAAGAAACAGGAGAGCACCAGGCGTTTCGGTTCAGGTTTCCCTGGTGGATTCTCATCCCTCCAGGCTTACCTGGTGTTGCCGCCTGCAGCTGTATTCAACCAGCGCCCGCAGCCAGGAGATGCTCTGCTCCCCTTGTCTTCTCCACAACAGGGACTCTTTGCTCTCTTCTTCCGTTTTCAAAAAAACGCTCAGCAGGCCAGTTCCTGCTCCATACATGTGGTAGAAGAAAGTCAAGCAGTGTTTCCCAGGGACCCCTCTCAGGGGCCAGGACAAGAGGTGTGCTTTTTGTCCATACACCATGTGGGAGGCCTCGATATACATGTAGTAGCCTTGAGAGGAATGAAAAGCAAGCATGGTTAAAAAAAGATCCAGTCACTTTTTTTTTTTTTTTTTGTAGTTTTCCTGGTAACATAGACACTTTGGCTGTAGTACTGAGAAAAGGGTATATAATTCTGGAGAGTATGTATGATCAAAAAAAAAATAGATACACTGTGAGGATTACACTGCAAAATGATTCTTTTCATTTAATGGTTTATAATTCAGTTTAATAGAAAGAAAGGAATTAATGCACCAGTATTACGTCACTGGTATAATTATCACATCAGAATTTATCTCACTACTTCACAGATAATACTGTGAATCTTCCATATGTTTTTATACTCCCTTTAGCTTCATACATTAAAATCCTAATGCCTTGGGTATCCACATTAGAGAGGTGATTACGTCACAAGGGCAGTGACCCCAAAATGAGGTCAGCATCTTCATCAAGGACTCCTGAAACTAACTCATCTTTCATGCCACGAGAGAGGAGCATGAGGAGATGGCCACAGCTGAAGGAGAAGCCCCCACCCTCACCCCTGACACTAAATCTGCTGGTGGCTTGATCTTGGGTTTCCCAGCTTCTACAACTGTGATGAACTAATATATGTTGATTATAAGCTTCCAGCAGTCCAACAGAACTGAAGCACAGCCTCCCCAGTCTATTCCAGCTCTTACAGTTGCTGAGGCTAGGACCTGTAAATCACACAGCATTCTCCCTCCCCTTTCCCTCCAGGCTGTCAGGAAGTCCTGGTGGGTCTACCTTCAAAGTAAATCCAGAGCCCTGTCTCACTTCCTCTACGGCTAGTGTCCTGCTCCTGTCATGTCAGCTTGAACTAAAGTGACAGATTCCTGGCTCATGTGTTTGCTCTTACCTTATCCCATATAGTCTACCCTCAGCAGTATCTATAGCAGTCTTTCTAAATGCTTAATGTGTGTGTGTGTGTGTGTGTGTGTGTGTGTGTGTGTGTGTGTGTGAGTGTGTGTACGCGCGCGCGCACGTGTGTGTGTGTGTGTGTGTGTGTGCACGTGTGTTTTCACACCCAGTTGTGTGTGTCAATGTGAACCTCTGTCTGCCACCATGATTGTGTGATGGTCACAGAACAACCTTGGATGTTGATCCCTGCCTTCCATCTTGTTTGAGGCAGGGTGTATTTGCTGTTTTTCTATTGTATGTGATAGGTTATCCATCCTGTGAGCTTCTGGGGATCCTCCTGTCTCTGCCTCTCCCTACAGATGCTGATGCTACTGCATCCATGGGTTCTGGAGATCCAAACTCAGGTCATTATGATTTCACAAAAGTGCTTTTGCCTCCTGGGCATCTTTCCGGACCCTAAAAGCTAAATCATACCATGGCTTTGTTTCAAGTTTCCATTAGTTTAGTTCAGAGTCCAGGCTGACTGCCTCAGGATTGCTTCAGGGCCCCGGACAACCTGCCTCCCACCCCCTGCCTTTCACTGCGATCTTTCTTATCACTCATTAAGTGGACTTTACTGTTCCTGGATGTCACCTCAGGCTGTTGTGCATGCTGACCCTGGCTCTTCTGGAGATATTCTGGGGTCTCACTCTCCCCCTTTAAATGGCTCCTTAGATGCTATCTTTTCTACTGGGTCTATTCTGACCTCACATTGCAAGTTGCTGCCTCCCCTTCTCACCTGCTTCCTCAGCACGCCTCATCCCTTCGACCTTAATTTATTATGCTTCTGTAACTTTGCCTTTTAATGGGTTACCTCATTTTCTCCTCTTTAATCTCTGTTTCCCTCTTCTCTATGTCACAGAGTGTCCTTGTTTAGTTCAGGACCATATCCCCAGTCCCTAGAGCAGTGCTCTAGGCATGGGAGATGTTCAGAAGAATTTGTGAGCGGATGGAGGAACATATTTTTTTTCATAGCACTAAACCACAAACAAGTCTGATCATTTCTAGAACACATGGCTCCACCAAGTTCACACTGAAAGTTGAGGTTGCTGGCAATGAGAAAGGCATTTGGACTTGGATGCTCTAAGGCAAAGCTACTACAAATCCAAGATGTGATAAAATCCAAGTCTTATTAAAGCAAACGTTCTAAAACAAGTTCCAAATCATCTGAGGTATTTTTAAAAATGAACATACATAAAGCTGGGCGTAGTGGTGCATGCCTGTGAGTTCAGCACTTTGGAGGGAGAGGTAGAAGAAACTGGAACTCAAGGTCACACTTGACTACATAATGAGTTTGAGGCCAGCCTGGGCTACTTGAGACCTTGTCTCAAGAAAATTCTTGAAACCATATTTAAAAAAAAAAACCGACCTGAGACTTTGTTTCGAAAAATACTCCACATGTATGATAACCTTTAACTGTGTAACTTTCATTGTTCATCTGCACAAAAATTGCTACAATGGTTGTCTTGTCACATTCTGCAATCCAGGAAAGCTTTATTGTATTTTATTTTCTATAACATGTACCACTTAAGCTACTGTCAAAGTAAACAAATACACATGCATGTGGGTGTACATGCAAACACACATACACACACAATCCTAATGGAAAAGTATGTTTAATTTAGTTCCATGAAAAACAAGGTTAAGGAATGAAAATGGCCATGGTATGTCATCAAACCATGTACCAAGGAGTTCTGTGCGTCCTACGTGCAAATTAGTGGCATAGTAGATTTTGATAATACCTTAAGGCATACTCAGTTAAGAAGCATTCCGAGTTAGGTGTGTGTAGTAGTACACACCTGCAATCCTAGTACTTGTGAGACTGAGGGAGGAAGATTGTGAGTTAGATGTCAGCCTGAGCTGTACAACAAGAGAAAATATCTCAAGAAATAATTTCAAGGCAACAAGAAAACACACACACAATGAAAATTTTTTTGTACTTTGCTTTGGAGTTTTCCAAAGGCCACTTGAAATCCCACATAAAAGACCCTTGCTAGAGATGAGACTCTAGTAGGAAAGACATTGTCCTTGAAATAACGCTTTCACTGAGCAAGTGCAAATAAAAGACTGTGAGGGGCTGAGAGATAAAATAGAAAGCAATGGATTCGTCGTGAGTGACAGATGGCCTAGGGTTGTCTTTCACTTAGTGATAATAATTCTTGGCCATGGCCATTCTGAGATCCTACAAGATGAACAAACTCTCAGTCATTCCCCGAGTATTGGTTGAAGTTCTTTCCTTCACGGGAACAAGATACTAGTTTCTTCCGCATTGAAAGGGAAAGTATTACTCTATGCCAGGCTCTTCCCAGCAGGCCAGGTGGGCTCTAACTAAATCAGGGCTGTCTGTGCAGCCTCCCACTCCCTCATCTCACCTTGCTTTGGCCCACACACTCCTCCTACAGATGCAACTGCTGTCCATTCCTGCATTGCTGAGTCTTGGATGTCAGGTGAAAGCTATTAGTTAAGACCACCCGCTCCAGAGAGCTTTGGGCTTGGTGCTGTATGATATGAAAGGAAATCCACACTGCTTGACCCGTGTGATTGTGCTTCTTTTGGAAGAGGGGTCCTGCCTGGATGGAGAGTGACTTTCTAGGATACTAACTTCAGTCTACCTTCAGTATTTTCAACCTTTGCAAATCACTTCAGGATATAATTTGTACTAAGGACACACATATATGGAAATACTATTTAAAGGAATATAGACCAACTTCTATTCTTAAATAATGAGTTTTAACATCTTTGCTAGCTGATCGGAACCCCCACCCCTATGCATGAACTAGTTACCCCTCTAGTTTACAAATATTTCTCCCTTCTTGACTTGCACATGATACTTCCTTTTCCTGAAACCACCAGAGAACTTCACAGAGGCCAGTCTGCCTCACGTGTGTTTGGAGAGCAGAGGAGAGTTGAGTGTGCTGACATTTCCACGTTACAGCTTCAAGCTCTGTCTGTCTCGGCAACAAAGCTTGAGAGTGGAGCAGGATGTCACAGAACTGATGCGTGAGGCCTAGCTCATGACTGCCTGCACATGAACGATTGTTGGGTGGGGCGGGGTTGCCAAAGTGCTTTCTTTCTGTGGGGTGCTGTCTGACATCTAGGATGCAGGAGTCCCACAGATCTGCTGGTTGCTTGGAGCCCCATCTGTTGTTTGTGAGGCAACTGTGATGCCCTGAGAAGCCGAGGCTCACACTGTACGCATAATCCTTAACTGGTAGACAGTTGCTCCTCTAGGCTTTTGGCTCTCTTTTAAAGGGTTGGGAAGGGTCTTTGACAGTCTGTGTGGAAGGAGCAGCAAGCTGTTTTCATTAGACTGGAAGAGGACTCCTAAAAATCAGGGGGAAACATCAAAGCTTTGGGAAAAACAACTGTTAAAAAGTGTCCCTCGAAAATCACCCTATTATTATTATCAGGCTAGTTCTTCGGTAACTTCTTACATACCCAATGCAGTCTGGTTACTCTTCCCCAACCCTCTTTTATCCCCCTTCTACCTGTTAATACCTTCCTCTCACCCCTGACTCCCTACCTGTCCCTTCCCAGACTCAGGACTCTTGAGTTTGTTATGCCACCCATTTCCTTCAGCCTTGTTAAAAAGTCTGTCACACGGTGTATCAATGGAATCGAATCAAAGACCCTGACATAAATTCATACACCTGTGGACACCTGATTTTTGACAAAGAAGCCAAAATTATACAATGGAAAAAAAAAGAAAGCATCTGCAATAAATGGTGCTGGCATAACTGGATGGTGACATGTAGAAGATTGCAAATAGGTCCGTATCTATAGCCCTGCACAAAACTCAAGTCAAAGTGGATCAAAGACCTCAACATAAAACCAGATACACTGAGCCTAATAGAAGAGAAAGTCAAAAAGAGCCTCAAATGCTTTGGCCCAGGGGACCACTTCCTGAATAGAACACCAGTAGCACAGACACTGAGATCAACAATTAATAAATGGGACCTCATGAAATTGAAAAGCTTCTATAAGGAAAGGACATGGTCAGTAAGAAAAAATGGCAGCTTACAGATTGGGAAAACATCTTCATCAACCCCACATCTGACAGAGGACTGATGTAACACAAATTTTAAAAAATCTTAT